GAGTGGTCGGTGCGAAGGATTTGAACCATTTCACCGCTTGCACCACAGCCAAGGCTTCTCGTTTTGTCGTTGAGTAATTCGTCTCTGTTTTCGATAGTACCCTGCTAGCGTACACAATTGGTCTCTCCTCCCCGTTGATGACGTTCGAGAGTACAGCGCCCAAGCTGGTATTGCTCGCATCCGTGTCCAGTATAAAGGTTCCCGTGTAGTCAGGAAACTCCAGAACTGGGGCCATAATAAGCTCTTTCCGTAGTCTATCGAAGGCTGTCTGACATTCGTCGTTCCAGATAAAGGGCACCTTCTTTTTCGTCAAAGAGGGCAGGGGACTCGGAATCCCGGCAAAGTCCTTCACAAATCGACGGTAGTAATTGCAGAATCCGAGGAAAGACCTCACCCCCTTAACTGTTTTGGGCACTGGCCAGTTCTCAACTACTTCAACTTTCTTGGGATCCACTTGGATACCTTCATTTCCAATTATGTGGCTCAAATAAGTCACCTCCTTCTGTACCAACCTGCATTTCTTCGGCTTCAGTTTCAAATTTGCCTCCCTTAGTAGCTGGAAGGTAGCCTTCAGGTGTGCAAAATGGTCGTCTTCGCACTTGCTATACACCAGCACATCATCGAGGAATACTAGGGCCCACTTCCACAGGTGGTCCCGAAACAATTCATTCATGAGGCGCTGGAACGTTCCCGGAGCATTGGACAGCCCAAAGGGCATCATAACTTTTCATAGAATCCTCCATCCGGGGTCACAAAGGCTGTCTTGTGTCGGTCTTCCTCGGCTACAGGCACTTGCCAATACCCACTCGCCAGGTCGAGGGAAGAGAAGTACTTCTGCCCGTTAAGAGCATCGAACGTTTGATGTATCTTCGGAATCGGAAATGCGTCCTTGACCGTTACATCATTCAGCTTCCGATAATCGACACAGAACCGCCAACTCCCGTCTTTCTTCGTTTGCAAGACAATTGGTGCACTATAAGGGCTTTTTGAAGGTTGGATCACCCCTTTCTCCAGCATGCTCTTAACTTCGTCCCTGATGATCGGCATCTTTGCGGGAGATGTTCGATGGGGGGGGGGGGGGAGAATCTTGATAGGGCCCGAGTCTCCAGTATCAATACGATGTGTCACCAATTTAGTTTGGCCAAGTTCGGCATCTGTCAAAGCGAACACATCTCTATAAGTACTGATCAACTGTTTCAGCCGGTCCCTCTCCGTTCCTGTCACCTCGGGAGCTGCTAGTTCTAGAATCTTCTCTATATCTTCATCTAGATGTCGTTTAGCCTGTACTTGAAAGTCCATCGACCCTTCCTCTTGCATTCCCTGCACCTCATGGTCCTGACTGACGGGGGGCCAACCTTCTACAACATCCCTCATTGCATATGATGACTCAAACGTTTGACCCACCAAGAGGAGTGTGTGGTTCGGTTAAGGAGGTACTGTGCGACGAGTTTACGTCCCAGTAATTATCGTCCTCTGGCGGGTGTTTAGGGTATGAGGTCACCTTCAATATTTCATATTGCAGGGGAACTATAGATCCCTCTTTCCGTCCCGTCCAGAGGTTGTCACACTGGAAATCTAACGAGCTTTCATGCTCCTTTAAAGACCGAAGTCCTATGATCATTTCCGCTTTCAGCTCAGGCACCACCAGGGCTTCGACCTCATCGTCGATTGACCCTAGCTCCAAGTTAGCCGTCACCCATCCCTCGACTCCCACTTGCCTTCCATCCGCTGTTTCTAGTGTCCCTTTGTAGGGCCGTAACGGTGGGGCTGTAGTCAAATTATGGTACACCTCGCTTCGTATTAGGTTGATCGTAGCTCCCGTATCCACTAGTGCTTTTACCGGTAGCCCGCCCAAAATCGCTTCCGCTATTAGCCCGAATGGTGCTCCAGGCACTCGGCAAACTGGGGGTCGTTTGGTGGAATAAAGTCTGAACCTGCTCTGTTCCTCGAAAGCCTTCGCCTCTCATTTGCACCTGAGGGCTCGTCGTGGGGTCCAAGCGGTACATAGAGGGGTTGGAAGTGGGGGATGGGTGATTTACTCGCTGTTGATTCTTTATCTCGGCCGGGACAAAACCTCCCTGATGCATATTCAATGCCCCGGCCCTTGGTAGTTTAAATGATCCAAATTCTTCTGGGGGCACTCCTTCGCAAAATGACCCGGCTGGCCGCAGCCAAAACAGTTCCCACGGGGTATCTGGTTTTTCATTCCGTAACGACCTCTAAGGCCAGGAGATAAGTTCGATCTATTCTCGCCGGGTTGGGGTTCGTATAGTTGTCGGGGTCGTTGGGAAGGTTCCGACCGCGGTAAGTTTTCCGGGTGGGGGACGGGGATGATAGAATTAACAAACCTACCCATCATGGCCGTCATGTTCTGCATCTGAGCTAACAGATCATTCTGGACACTCACCAGTTGGTCGATGCGGGGGTCATTGCTCGCCTGCTGACGTCCCTGACTAGCTCCCACGGGTTGGTTTCGAGGGATCTGTCTGCCTACACTCCGACCAGCCTCAGCACCCGGCTCTGGGACATTTTCGGCAACCCTCGCAAGGTGCATCTTTCTCCGGTTCCGGGCCCTGGACGTTTTATTCACAAGATCCAAGGCTTGGGCGCGGGCAACTGCTTGCGCTAGGCTTCCTATATCTTCTCGCAGAAGTAGGTCTTGAAGGTCCACGTCAAATAGCCCGTCTATGAACTGTTCTCGGTTCATATCGTCTCGAGCTTGAGCTCCCACATTTCCATTAGCAACATCTCCAAGTGATCGGATTCGCCGAGAGAATTCCCTCAAGCCCTCCTTGTCTCCTTGCATCAGACTTTTGAACTCCGCCCTAGCCGCTGCTTGAGTTTGGAAGGGCATCATACGCTGATCTAGTTCGGCCAGCATCCGTGCAAGTGTTGGCGCTGGGAAACCGTCTTCCTCCTCTCTGAAGTGGGCTGGCATGCTGGTAAATTCATCCAGAGCCCATCCTGTCAGACACGTAGGCAACACCATCCGAACCTGTTCATCTTCCCATCTGTTAGCATCCGCAACCCAGGCGAAATGCTTCCTCCAGTCGGCCCAGTTCTGATAGCTACTGGAGGGAAACCGATCGGGGCGAATGGTGCCAAAGTCAAAGACTCCTTGCTGCCTGTCCAAAGCATTCGCTGCCGCCACAGCAGCCTCTGCCAATGCAGCTCTATCGTCGTCGTTCATCATCGTGTTTGCTCACGCGATGGTTGTTCGTTCGTTTGCAACTTCAGTCTAGGACAAAGCCCACCCAGGAGCGCCAATGTCGTCTTTAGGATTTCCACACACGGTCTTGCGAAGCTATCCCTTTTACCGTGCTAAAGCAAGGGGCACTAAGGCTCGGTATTAACGACAATCCCGAAAGGGTTATGTTAGTGGTGAGTTGTCCTCTACTGCATTCTTTTGCTCCCCCTTGGTCAGTGATGCTCTTGCTCGCTATATCTCGCTTGAAGTCGCGTACAACGAATTCCTTTTTTGCAAATGAATTCAATATATATAAGTCTGAATACAAAGGGCCTACTAGTTCGGCCAGAGTATAATTTATTAATATACAACAGAATGGTTTGCGATCTGTATACGCTTAACAATTTCTTCTGCGTACTCGGCCAGTACACGCGTCGACTAAGCTCTCTGACTTTTGCTAGCTTCTACTCTAACTAATATTCCACAAGGCACTTCGACTTGCGTTCTTACTTCACTCGCTGTGAAACAATTAACTGATGAGTTCAGATAGCGGCCACAACTGGGACCTACTGAATCTTACGTTCGTTAACTCCTTCTCCCTTCAAAATCCGCTCTCGAACCTCCACTTCTTATCTCTATTTGCGCTCCGTTTTTGTTAAAGTCACGCCACTTCATATCGGTGTTGTCATCCCTTAAGCACAACCGCCCCCTATGGTTTTCCCTTTTACCTACTCCCTCTGTCAAAGCTGACGGGTTCCAAGTCCGGGGTTTTTATCGACTTGATCACGTTTCGTAAATACATCCCCCTGCGGTTGGTATCGTAAATCGGGTAAGTAACCGAAGTCGTATGATTCTTATCAGTTAAATCCCCCCTACGCTACTTACTTAAATACCAGCTGACTTCGGTGCCAAATCTTGACCCAAGCAACAAAGTCGTACGATCCCAATAAACTAATCATAACCCGATTTTGAACCAAATTTACTAATATTTTCCCTATCATGTTAGGATAAAATACACGGTCGGGGATAAATTTTGCTTTTTATACTCGGTAGTACTACCATGACCCAATTTACCCTAAGGCACATAATTCCGTGCATGTACAACCCCATAGCAATTAGCTACCTACAGGTATAAACCGTTTTCCATTTTCTTAATCCCAGCCAGAGTTAGAGGGGGAAATGTCCGGGTAAAAGTGCATTTTTCTTCGATTTTATTTCTACTACTTTATTTAGCTTTAAGTCCACCTTTCAACCTTTCTACTTTGTTTACCCTTAGCTAACAGCCATCCAATTAAGTTATTTAGACCTCATAACGAGAAATGAAATACCTAAACTTAAACCAAGGTAACGATACCCAAGCAGAAAATACGCTAAGTCGAAAAATTCGCTAGAATTACCAATTCTACAAGAACTGAGGTAGGAGGAACGCCAACCCCAAATCCCCCCCCGCGCACGCAACAGAGAGCACCTGCTTTTGTCTGAAAAAAAATGAAACTAAAACAACGGAAACTAAAATTGCTCCCCACTTTCAGTAGTCGAAACAAAAACTGGGCAGAAAAAAAACAGACGTATATTAATTTAGTTACCAAACACACCGCTTCTCATTAAGCTTATCGTTAAAACCGTTCTTTCCTTTTCATGCAGAGCACGATTTTTGACGTAAAATTTCAATTAACATCAGCTTTTTACTAAGAAAACTTACAGTAGCTCAAAAAAATTTAGTTTCATGCTCATTAAATTAATGAGGGAAAAAATAATGCTATGAAAAACAACTCTTTGAAAACTATTTCATTAATGCAGCAGCAACCAATTATTTTCAACTCCCTTCAAATATTATTTTTAACTATATTTTACTTAACAGGAAACAGAACAAATCGCAGCACTAAAAATATTATTCTTAATTGCTATGGAGGAAAACAACGATTTGGATGAGAAAAAAGTTGGATTTGAGGGTGATCATGGCGTTAATTACATGAACCCCTTCAACCCAACACTTCCGCCGTCCTACCAATCGGATCTAAACGGAATGACTGTCCAGGTCGGAGGAAATGGTTGCCCAGATGACAACAAAACCAAAAAAGTCAACAACAAGCTATTATACATGGCATTGGTCGCCATAGCTGTCATGTGTGCGACTGCAATTGTCATATGCGGAATGCGAAATGGACTATTTGGAGACGGTGACTATTTTTTTGATAAAAACTTATATCGCATTACAGAATAGGAAACGTGTTACACCGTACAGCATGTACTTTGCGAACAACGAGATATTTGAATGCAAAATAGGGATAACAAACAGTACTGACCAAAATAGCACATTTAAAAATGACAACTAAAAACTAAAAAAACTGAACGAAGCATGACTGTTTTTTCAAGTTTAACTGTTTGCTCCAAATTGAAATTCGAAGTATTGAAACTTCCTTTTAGATGAAAAGGAGTGGCGGCATAAATCTACTGCCCATGAACAATGGGGTTGTCGTGATTCGGAGCGGAGGTGGCGCAACTTTGACTACCGATCTGAGCGATACGACAGCCCTCGAGATCACGGGTACATGTCAAGCAGTGTTCCAACATACGAACCAGTGGATGCTTGTTTCCACTCATACGACGACTTCATCATCACCGAATGGGATCAGGGTCTGAAGGAAAACAGATTTGCAGAGATATTCACAGCCGATGCAGTGTACAACGTCTACGACATTCGAGGTTAAATTTTATTTATTAGCTACAACTACGAAAATTTTTGCTCCACTTTCACAACTATTTCTGACTCTTTCCACACTCATTTCCACAGTTCTCTAAGACATAAAAGCGAAGAACCTAAAATGAACGATTTCAGTTGCTTCGCATTTTCCTTTTCATTAATGTTTTAATATCTTTTTTGGCTCATTTTTAGACCACTCTGATGGCTACAACCCAAAATGCTACATTGAAACACGCGACAGCAGCTACTATTCCCACTACTACGGAGGCGCCTACGCTACTGGGGTCATAAGTCCCAGCTACATCGGCGAGGTCCAATACAGAGCGATGGAGAACTACCGCACACAGATGGGCGGTCTTGGAATCGACACTGGCCTCATGTCGTATTTAACTGGACACTTCGAGTATGATTATGATAGTGAGACGTCTTCTGGTTCCAGTTCCAGCACCTCATCGTCAACGACTTCAAAATCAACAACGTCGTCATCTTCATCTACGTCGTCTTCTTCGTCAATGTCATCTTCAACGCCACGAAAAACAACAACTCCTTTGACTTATTCCACAGGATCTTGGACCTGGAGTCCCTTTTACTGGTTTCATATGACTGCATCACATTATACGACGACTCCTTCAATGTCTGATGACTGGCTTAGAAACTGGCACTCCACAACCAACCCGGAACTCGATATGAAACTGGAAGACTTTTTTGAGTCACGAGTGACTCAAATGTACTACAGATCTGAGCGAGTGACGGACGAGTGGAGACTGAGATACTTCAGCGAGCATAATGTTGTCATTAGAACATGCCATCAAGCTTTATCAAATTTGAATTAATTTCTTGACATGTTTGAACTGAATTAAGCTATGAAAATTTTTCGTACAGTATTTTAACGGAGCAGGACACTACATTAATGATAATTTTGTTTTCAGATCGACGCCATTTGTTCCGAGGACTCGGATGTTTACGAAATCGAACGAATCGAAGCAGACTCGAGCTACTTTTGCTACGCCACTTATGACATGACATTTGCAGATCCTGGTTTCGAAAGTGAGTCATACTTTTAAGGCTTCTTACTTCGGATGATTCATACCAAAAACTTTTCAATTTCAGCCGTGTATCCGACTCAGTCGCCGTATCACTACCGCCGTCGGAGAGACGCACACAACGATGGTAATCTGATTTTCTCATTTCAAAGTTGGAGAAACGCTTCCGAAAAGTTCTTTTTGAATACACCAGCTTCATCATTTTGTAGGAGAATGTACTCGCAGCGCAATTGACTATTTTTATGACAATTTTGCTTCGATAGATTTTTAAAAAATGAACCCCTCTTAAAAGATGGTCGGCCCGGCCCTTTCCTCATTTTCCGACACTCGAGTTGCATTGAATTTGAAAAAAAATAGCAACATAACTTCGAAGATATAGTTAACTAAAATTGCTTTTCAGAGGCTGTGCTGGCCAACTTGGATAAGTATGCAGCTCAGTTCCAACTGACTATGGAAGAGGAGGACATAGGGTCCCTCGTGGACAATGTGACTCGGATGATTCAACAGAGTCTGCAGCAGACATTTGGAATACAACATCACTCCATCCACATGTGCTATTAGCACCAACCACCTTTAAACTATCATGATTACGCTTAATTGCAATTAATCCGTCACAATCAGTTGGAAAACTATGTACTCAGATTATATTTGAAAAAAAAAACAAACCCTTCCATTCAATTATAAAATAAAATCCAAATTCCCTTCTAAATAGCGATATTTCAGAAATCAAATTTAACCGTTCAAGTTGTTACCTCGGAGAGTTTGCCAGATTTTCGATGACAAAAAAATTAGCCAACCATGAAAAATTGAAAAAGAAAAACTTGACATCACAGAATTGGTAAATTGACCAGATAACAAGACTACTGTCAGTTTTTGAGAATTGTTTCAATTAGAAAAAAATTCCCAAAATTGAGCCGACAAAAAATAAGCGGACAAAAGTCCGCAACTCAATTGTCCCGGAAAAAATCAATTTCATACATGCTGAAAACAACATGGACTCAAAAAACAGACCCTAGGGTGCAAAAGCAACTGCATTATCTCTAGACCAAGAAAGAAGGAGCCTGGAAGTTGTTAAGGTTCAATAACAAAGCAAGTTTATTACAGATGTAAGAAAAGTTGTTTACGGGAAAAAAGTCTAGTTCTCGATTACAAGACAGTTGTTCGTGTGAATATTCACCAGAAAAAGCGGGGCCTAGGAAATTAGACGATAAGCAAAATAGACGGATGTTACAAAAACGAAATTAGACGGAAATTATTGTTTACAGATCTGGCATTTTAGACAAAAAAGCTGTGTAAAGGAAAAGGCCAACGAAATGTTTTCTTAGGAGTCAAGTTTTACAAATACAAAAAGAACATAAAATGTCGATACCTACCAAAAACAATCAGTTTGAATTAACATAAAATGTCAAATTCGAATATTACAGGAGAGTTTTGAATTGAATAAATTTGAATTGAATTCTGATTGGTTGAAATTTGAGCCAACGAATTTACGGATTGATTGTTTACTGTTCAACCAGCATAAACTCAAGCTGCAGAATAGTGACCGCCGCAGCCGCGCCAACGTGTTGCAAGCTTGCCACCAAAGGGTAGGACTCAATACGAAATTTAGAGCCACTTATGGCTAATTTAGTCTTTTGACCAATTGAAAAGATTTGGAACTTACGGCTAATTTAGTCTTTTGACCAATTGAAAAGATTTGGAACTTATGCGACTGCTTTTTTATTTTGGAACCTATGGGACTGATTGCTTATTTTGAAACCTATGAATACGCACCTATTTTTCTCACCCAATTTGTCTGCAAACTATTTTAATCTGGGGAGGGTTCTTATGCTTAAAGGACCGAATGCTTGAAAGTTTCAACCAATCAAAATCGCTAAGCGTTCCTATTGGCTAAATGCCTCTCTCACAAAATCAAGTCAATATTAACAGAAAATGTTTTAAATCAGTGGAAAATAATCAAAAATATTACAAATCTCGGGTTACAACCGCAATACTATGCAGATAAACATCAAGATTTATGAGTTCAAGTTCATAAGAATTTTTCAGTCTTGAAAACTCATCTGCTTATTATCTAATCGGTCAGTATTAACACTAATGGCCTGGATTTATTTTCTCACTTTGAGATTTTTACGATTTACTTTGAGACTTTGAATACTCAATTCTGATTGGCTGAAAGTAAGCTAAAATAAATTTCAAGCATTCGGTCCTTCAAGCATGAGTGAAGCCACTTTTTAATCTCTCTCACTTTCGCCTATTTTCTCACAATTGCAGTTTTGCAAAAACGTCTAACTTCCTTTTAAGTGCCTCCATCTAATTTGCTTATCGTCTAATTTCTCAACCCCAAAAAAAAAATGAGCAATCACTCAATTCAGTAATGCTATAAAAGGCTCCGAGTCACTTCTGCCCCAAAAAGACATTCATTTTTGCCCCAAAAGCAGTCAGTTTCGCCCCAATGTCAATGCACGTAATTATACTTAATTAACCCCCAATTAATTCTGAGTGCAATACTGTTGACTCGCGTGTTGTACTCGGGATGATTCCAGTCAAAATGACCAATGAATGTGCCATAATGTATTCAATTCATATCAATTTTATATTTTGTGAGGAACAAACTGCTGCAGTAAACTACTACTACAATGAGGGCATATGCAAGTAATATATAAGTCATTGCGGCAATCAAAAGCCTATTTTTCTCAAAATAAAGAGAATCGTTTTGGGGCGAAAGTGTCTGGGGTGGAAATGACTGGTCACGCTATAAAAAAGCAGCGAAAGTCATTAAAACGATAAATATCTGCTAATAACTCGTGAAGTAGTCGACTGATACTGTCTAACATTGCATACTTCTAACATATTTCTAATTTCGATCTCTAATTATGAGTCATGTTATTTACGTTAATTCCCAATTAAAAACACATTTTGTCCCATGAAAGTTCATTGGAAAAGAGCCAATGAACGCAAGTAAACGAAAAATGGAGGTTTTTTTTTTTAAAAACGCAACTTTCGAACTTCAACGGACACAATTGATGGCCTTAAAGCTATTTGGATTTCTAGAACAATTACTGGCACTTTTTCGATACAATTAACCCAATTTGAGAAATTTCGATCGATAGATAAATTTTTTACTCAGTTGGAAAATCTGAATCCACAGTAAAAACTAGAAGTCGATCAAGTTTTTTGTGACCTGTACACTTTTCCTGCTTGACTGTGGAGTTTGACTTCATTTTAAAAAAGAAAATGACCCGAACCAAAAAGAAATCGAAAGTCAAACGTGAAAAATCAAATTTGAGCGTAAAAAAATTTCCTGAAAAAAACATCACGGCTTATATAAGAGTTCATCAGAGTTATACTAAGTTCATCGACTCTTAAAAAACAAAAATTGATGTTTATATCTTGTAGGGGAGGAGGTATAAGACCTAAAAGCCCTGCAGTTGAGGGCATCAGATATCAATAGCTATTAATTAATTGGGTAGGGCGACAATCGTAACAGGCGACAATTCGTAACAGGCGACAAGCTGCAATTCGTAACAAGGCATTGGCAAGTAGAATACGCTTGCTCCGCTCCACTTACATCTGTCACGAGAGGAACGATGCGCATAAATTACTGTTTGCCGCTCAAATTATTGTGACGAAATATCGTCTGTTACGAATTGTCGCCTTTTAAGAATTGTTGCCTGTTACAAATTGTCGCTTCACGAATTAATTGCTCACTTTTGCATCTGGTAGCAGCATTGAGCGAGTAAGAATTTTAGCGAGGGGTTTCTGTGCTGGTCATTGTTCTTCAGAAGGTGGTAAGCCTTGAAAAACTCCCCATTGCGGTAGAAACAGGATGCTAAGAGTCTCAAACTTTCCTCAGTGCACACTGAAAATCAAAACAACATGGTCTTCTGTCTTGAGAAAAAATTGATTCAGTAAAATTTGGCGAAATTAACAGCTTTACCTTCAGCGTGAACTCTTTCAGCTAAGAAGCAGGCATTTTCGTGGTCAAAATTGTCCAGCATAAAATCGACGACGGCCTGAAAGCAAATCATAAAACTAGGTATCAAAATAGTCTCAAATTGACTCCCATGCATTGCAAAAAAATTTCAGCATCGCTGGTCCAAAACACCATTTAAAATCGTACCAATGCATTTTCTGGCTGACATAGGAGCTTAATTGGTTATTTGACTTGGGATAGCTGAAATAACTTTACCTGGGCTGCAATGAACGGATCTGAGGGAGCCATGAGAGGTTCAGTTGATTCTTCTTTATTCTTTATTGACACCGCGATTCATCCATTACTCATCTGTAATAGCATGTGATTAGAGCAAGGCCATTAAATTCATAAAATTATTTTTAAATCATGCCTCGACCTCCAAGCAAATCAGGTTTCAAATTGATCAAAAACCAGAGTGGTTTCAATCACGTGCAATTTTTGAACCCGAAGATTTAGTGATCTATTTTTGGAACAGAAGGTATCAATTCACAGACAGAAAATTACAGATTAAATTTTGAAGTATGTTGCAGTTTTATTTGATATTATTTGACAGGTTGAAGCTCAAGTTACTTTGGATCAAATGACATGCTACTGCAATAGTCGGTCGAAGGACTGCTGTGCACAGAGTGATGCATGTATTGCATTAGCAGCTAGACAGGCTTCGGAAAACAGACGAACTCAGTCGTTACAATGCGAGGCATCATTACAGGCAGAATTGCTGAAACAACAACAGCAACAACGACTACCTCCGCTGATCCCTTCAATACAGGGCTCTTTACCATTCTAAAACCAACCATCTAGTAATTACATTATTTATTATGAAGCCACATCTAACCCTCAGAAAATGTACAAGAAACCCCAGTTTAAAACCAGTTTTTTTTTAAAACTGCCAATAAGAAGCTTTTGTAAGCAATATATTTAAATCCTCCTCCTTTTGAAAAAAATATCTACAGTTTTTGAAAGCTCATAAAGACCACTTATCAAAGAGGCAATAACATACGAACTGTACAGCTCGTCACGGCGAACCGCTGTTGTGCCCCTGCTTAGAAACTACATGCATGTTGGTTAGTTTATTGATTACTGTTCACGGCTGGGTAACATTGCCTCACCCTCAAGCAACGAGCACTGATCTTACATTGAACATTGTATACTACCCCCCTCCTGTGACTAACAATACTAAGTTTACTCGTCAGACTGTACGTTATCCCCTCCAACCCTCCCATCCAGAGACCACACCTCCCTCCCCTTGTAACCAAATACTCTTGAATTTCCGTCATAACTCAACCCCCCTAATGTAACGAACCCCCAAATAACCAAGCAAACCCCCTCTTTAACAAGACTTTGAATATTCTGCAATTAAATTGTATTGCATCTCCGGGAAAGCACCTAAAATTGCAGCCTTACTGTGCGAGTAACAGATCCACGTCGCGGTTTTTCAAGAAACAAAGTTTAACCAGGAAAACCGCACTCCCTCGCTGGCCTAAAATTTTACAACGACTAGAAAGGACCGAACTCGAGAGGGAAGTGAGCTCCTTATTGCCATTTATAATTACCTTCCATAGGAAGAACTTTTAAAAGTCGACGGAATTCAGGAGGCGCAATGCGTACAAGTAAAGTCAACCAACCAAAGTTTTCGGATCACAAACTTACGTTCCTCTCCGCTCTAGCTGACCCAAAGATTTTAAAGCTTCAATTACAGCTATCTTATCTGAAGAAAACAGTATTATCCTCGGTGGCGCTAATGCCCGCTCCTCTTTTATGTTCCGAAGACCAACGTGGGGCAGACTCGAAGCCGAAATAATTGAGAGACAAGGAAAATTAATTTATCTAATTTTGATAATTGATTATTTCGATATTATTAATTCCAGATTAGTGAATATTCTTTTACCCCAAAGAACGACTATCATCAAACTAGGCTCCCATCGATCGTAATACAACAGTATCATCACAAGATCTTTCCCTGGCCTCGGCCAGTATCATATCTTTATTCCAGGTCTCAACAAACAAACTTGCTCAAAAAAGATTTAATACTTTTTAACCCATCTGACCCTTTTTAAAATGTTTTAAAGAGATCATGGCCAAAAGTTTTAAAGGCAAGAAAAAAAGTGACGAGAAAACATTCAGAATTTTAATCACCATGCGCCGTCCAGTAAGTTCTGGAAAAAGCTCCGGCCATTAAACAGCAGCAATTCTGTCTTAGAAAACCACCCAATTCATTTTGATGACAAAAATTCTAGTTTTAAAATTCAAATTTCTCGGCCCGTAGACATTGCAAATGCTTTTAATGTGCAATATAATACATTGAAAACCCCCACAAGTAAAAAAGTTCAATGAGCAACTACGAGAAAAGCCCTTAACCCTAGCCTCGAAGGCCCACTGAGCTTTATCCCTCTTAAGACTGAGAATAATTTCAAAGCAGTAAAGACCCCAAAAGCATTAGAAATGGATGATCTATGCACAGTCCACCTTAAACACATCGGACCAATAGCAATGGCCTTTTTAACAAACACTTTAATCCTTTATTTTTCATCAAAAAAATTTCCCCAAATTTGGAGAAAAAAATAAACTTGTACCCCTACCAAAGCTCCACAAAGATAAAATCTTCAGACTCGTACCGCCGGTGTCAATTTCAAGCTCAGCTGTAAACAATTTAATCTTTAACCCATCCAACCATTACCAAATTTCAACTCAAACCCTATCATCAACATGTCTTTCGCCTGATGCATTCAACCACCACAGCACTCACAATCTTGAATTTTCATCAGCGACGGTTTTAACCAACAAAGGCCTCCAAAAGAGACAGTCCTGGCCACACTTCAAGTTTTTGATAAGGTCAAACATTGCACCCGCCTGGATCTCCTTCATGACACCAGCATATCGGGATTGTTCAGGGACACCTTGTCGAACCCTAAGATTGTTCGTACAGGCATTCTACAAGACTGTCTTATCACCAATACTTTTTAATTTGTAGGTCCATGACGCTCTACTATCGCCCCGATGTAAAACTGCAGTCTTATGCAGATGCTTTTCACCATTTTCTCTAGACCAACAACATTATAACAGGCTCATCAATATTATCCAATTAACTAACTAAATTGCACTATTTTTTTACCTTAAGGTCCCTTGTTTTTTCTTCTAAAGTTACTGCCAGCCTTTTTTCTTTTAACAAAGGTTTTTAACACCGACCTGATTGAGGAAATGAACAACGCTTGACTGCTTCTCGTGAAACATCCCAAAAATTGGTTGCCTTCTTCGACCCATCCTTAAATTTCGCAGGTCATTGTAAGAGAACATCCACAAAAGCCACGCGCATGATATCGATGGTTAAGGCTTTATCGGGGAGTTCTTGGTAGCAGTGCGAAAAAACTTTACGGGTTACCTTTAATGCTTTGTTAAGACTCATTTTAGATTAAACTACACCCTGTCTGTAAACATCTATAAACAAACTGCAAACAGTTCTAAATGCAGATCTTCGCGTGACAAGAGCTCTAGAGTAAGTTTTGCCCCTAAGACCACCTGAACTCTCGCCCGCCAAAGAATCCCTCCCTTGTTTCACTAGGAGAACCTTTCTCCGGTTGAAATCTGGTTACAACCTCTTGCTGAATACGTATCTGAATCGAATTGACCCCAACGTCCCCCCAAACTGCCCATACTGTCTTTCCCCCCACACCATTCTTCATGTTTTTACATGTTCCCGAAACACCATTTTTTAAACCTCAATATTTGCGACATCTCTGTGGCTTGGTTTGAGTATGCCGGACGCGCCCCTTCGAGGCTATTATCAATAATAACAACAACAACCCGGATCTTGGTGGACAACGAACATCCTACCTTTAGACTGAGAGATGGAAAAGTAACCCATTCACCAGGGCTCCCCTTAGATATAGCACGCGTATCTAAGAACAAAAACATACGAAGAACCTAGCACAATCAGGTACTAGTGGTGGATGTTTGTTTTTCGTATTTAGTCAAACCAAAAGAGAGCGTGGTCATGCATCGACATCATGTGCTCAAGCAAATATGTGGACTTCTACGCATTCCCATTCGCAATGCGCCCTTCGGGCGCAAATGCCAATGCTCAACTAATTTTGCCAGGTGAAAAAAAATTTTTACAGAAAAATTCTGATAAATTTTAATTTAATATATCACCAAAAAACGCAAAGAATTCAAAGTGTGAAACAATCAAGTTTTTGCTATTACCGAGCATGCAGTGAGACTGATTTCGGCAAAAGTAAAAGAGAAAATGAAGGAAATGGAAAGAAAAAAACTGTTCAAAATAAGAACGCAACATCAAAAACTTATTGATATCCGCTAATGTCATAATTCCGATCAGGCTGATTTCAGATTTTAAGCGTAGATTTTACGGTTACGGCTGCTATCTCTACAGGTCCCAGAGGGACCGAGTGAGCATCCTACCTCGATCCAGGATAACGGATAGTTGTTTTAAATTTTTCACAAAATATTTTTTCACTAATGCTTGTTTTCAATTCCTCATGAGAAGCTGTATAAATTTTAAAAAATTGATTTTTTTAATCAATGCTTCCAAGAACAACTGATGTTAGGCGGTTACAAATGCGGTTGGTGAAAACTAGTTAGGGATAATGATGAGAAAAATTGTAAGTTTTCAAATGAATTTAAAAACTGTTTTTTTCTTTTTTTCTTTTGTAAATCGGGAGAAATGAATCAGTTTTTTTTAAGTTTTCCTCGCACCACCCACTGTTCCTAAGAAATGAAGATTCCTGTTCTAGCCGTTTATAACACTTTGGCAGAAAAAACATCAATATGATGTAAAATGTTTTAAAAAAGAGAAAAAGTTAAAAATTATGTTTTTTTTTTAAAAAACCAAAAAATTGTAATTTTCAAAATTGAAAAAAAGTAAAAAATAATTGCATATTACAATTCACCGTACCCAACTTAGTGGGTATAGCATTTTAAATTACCAAAAAATGTTGAAAATTGTAGATTTTATGAAGTTTTCATTTTGGCTATTTTTCCTTGTCGCCTCCACTTAAGGCACCTTTGAGCCAACTTGAGAAACTGGAACCTAAACAAGCTATACAGATAGTCTGAATGAGCCATTTTCAGCGTGATAACACGCCTGGAAGAAAAAAAAACTCCAGAAAATAAAGAAAATTTTGAACTTTAACCTTTTTTCTTCTTCAAATGGCGATACTTAGAATAATTTTTCAGCTGAAAAGTTCAAAAAAAATCAAAAAATTCAAATTTTGAAAAAATTTTAAAAAAATCTCATCAGTCTGTTTATTGGAGTCTTCGAGGTTTTGGGAGATCTTATCTGGCGGCTAACAACAAAATG